TTTTTGCCGATGTCTGTCAACCAACACTACTGGTGAGGCAATTTTTTAATTTTGAAAAATAGTGTCCCTGTCACTATACTGGGGCATTAGGACCCACTTGGCTGGCCTCACTAACACCTTTTCTAAACATAGTTTTTCCTAGGAGGTCTCCCATCCAGGTACTGACCAGGCTTACACATGCTTAGCTTCAATGGGTTACCAACTTTGTGTTGCAGGGTGATATGGCTGCTGGCGCTCTTAGCAACTTTCTATCGGATCAGATTTGAATGGATAAGAAATTCATTTACAAATATTGGTCAAATAGAAGCAACCAGTCTCAGGCTTCCTTCAAGATAGGTGGACAATCATGTGGAGCTGTCATCTGCTGGATCGCTGAAGTTATTACTTGCTGGAAAACATTTGACAGACTTTTGGCTCCATGTACGATCCGAGTATGCTGAACTTAGCTCTGAAGCATGTGTGAAGAAGGCTCCAGGGCCAAAACATTGTGTTTTCTTTCTTCTCTTTTCAGCATGAAATAAACCTATTACTTGTTCCTTTGCAGCCTACGCATGCTGACTCAGCTACCCACTTCAACTACTACAGCCTACACCTGCTGCGACCCACTATGCCTTCCCCCAAATATTTTCTAGATCTCTTTGTCATTCCTTTTCTTCCTTCCTGGGCCAACTGCCCCCTTCTCTTACTAAACCAGCATTCCGTGTCTTCGCAGTGATCTGTTCCAAGACCAGGCTTTCTAACCACCTTCTATTCCTTTACAGATGTCGTCAACATAATATAATTCCTGAGGATTTTGCCTGAAATTTAACACTTTTTCTTTTGACTCTGATACCACCCAGAGTAACACAGTAAACAGTAACGAGACTTCTACAACAATTTTCTAGGAAACTAATGCTTTCTACCATTTTCTCCATCAAAAAACAGATTAACATTTCCAACAACAACATCAAAGAGGCTAAGGAATTTCTACGTCTGACAGCTCCACATCATCTTCCCTTAATAACTAACCTCATTAGATCTTTCAACTCCAAACTCTACCAGTTTCTCACTACACACCTGACGAAGGCTATTTTCAGCGTGGAATAAACCTATTATATGTGTAAATGAGTCGATACTTGCTCTCCACATGCCCTCCAACAATGTGACCTGCTTCCTTTTTGTTTTGCTTGAATTATAGGACTGATAAAGAAACAAGTCATCCTGCAGTGTCACAATATACTGTATGATGTATTTGTAGTGAGTTAGTCATGAGTTTCAGCTCTGAGAAGCATTACTAATTAGTGTTATCAGGCAAGATGTTTTATTCTAAGGGAAAGGAATCTAACCGTGTCTAAAGTAGGCATACTCAGGAGTGGAGCTTCTCATTAGAAAAATATGCATTGCTGAGTGACTACAGTCATAGGAGCTTTGGGTCTGAACAAGCAACATCTGGGGGCATTGCTTAAGAGTATTTCAATGAAGCAGAAACTAGGGAGTCATTTAGAATGTTAGTCTGAGCTAGACTCACACCAGAGAATGAGGAAGATGGTAGCTACTGTGTTATTAGCTGCATCTGTGAGTAGCCCGCCCAGCACGTGCAGGCAGAGTAGCTAGCCGAGCAGAGTGAGTGGGGCCAGTAGATATATGCTCTGTGAATGCTTATGTTATGTTGAAGCATGGTAGTGAAAGTAAAGTTCACAGTTTGAGTGAAGTTTGTGTACTGCAGAAAGCTTGGCAAGCTGCATCTTCCTCAGTGTTTATTGTGTATTCCCCAAAATGGGAAGAACCATAGAAGGAATCTGCTGTGAAATAGAGGAGCTATACTGTAGCTGCTGCCAAAGCCTGAGAAGACAAAGAATCACCAATAAATTGAATATGGAAGTTAATTATGAAATCCAATTAAATATCTCAAGATAAGACAAAACTGTAAAAATAGCACAAATGTATTGGCATACATATTTTAACTTACATTATTATGGCATTGAAGTGGACCCCTCTTTAAACCATTTTATAGTTATAAAACATTATTTTTATGTAGCAGTAATTCATGCATTTAGAGCTGCTGGAACTAAATGGGAGGATCTGGACAAAATACAACAATATTATCAAATTCTTTACTGTGCAATACAGTGTAGTGCAATCAAATAAATGAAATTATTCTCTGCTTATGCCAACAAGAGGAAGTATGAGCAGAGTAAAACTGGAAGAGTAGGACTCATCAATAATGCAATTAAGAGTGTATTCCTTTATTGGGATTTTGCCTTTTTCTCCAAACTTTTTTGGTGTGAATCGAGTAATAATTCCTTACACTTATTTTTTTACGGCTTTTTTCTGGACACTCTATTCAAAGTGCTTTACAGGTAATACCACCTTCACCACCACCAATCTGTAGTACCCACCAGTATTATGTGAAAGGAGCCACAGTGCATCAGTACGCTCACCACACATTAGCTATTAGTGGGTCGGAGAACAGAGTGATGAAGCCAAGTCAAAGATGGGGATCATTAGGAGGCCTTGGTTGATAAAGGCTGAGGGGAAATTTGGCCAGAATGCTGGAGTGAAACTTTTCAAGAAATCCCCTAGAATTTCAATTACTATGGGTAAGTTGCAGAAACTCTTAAGCCAGATAAAAATATGGTGTAATTGTAATTGAGAAAAAAAATAACCTTAAATGAAATTACATAATATATATATATACCATATGATTAAGGAGCTGTGGTAGCTCAGACAGTAAGGGTGTCTGGTTCCTGACCAGAAGGTCCTGGGTTCAATCCCAGGTATGGGTAAGTGATGTAGCTTGCCCTTAGTCCACTTAGCCTGCTTTCCAAATGAGTACTGGGGGTTAATCCTTCTTTGGGTAATAGGCCAGCTTGAGTGTGATGCTGACCTCCACTTCTAGTGTTGGATGGTTGAGGAAAAAATGGTGGCCTTCATGGCCTGAAAAGGGGACCCTACCTACCTACAGTATATATCTTTAACAATGTGGTTATGTGGAAGAGGGACTTTACTTGTGAATGGAAAGACCTGAGAAGAACAGCTAGCAATGTTATGCAACACAGCAATGATATGACAATGATGGGGATACCCTCAGACAAAGTCATGTACATGTTGCTCATTTGACACCATGTGTTGCAGATTTTTTTAACATCGGAAACAATATGATGAAAACTGTACATTATGAACTCCTATGTCTAGATAACACCCATTGAAGACCCACGGTTAAACAAGCGTGATATGTCAAGGGTAGAGACTTTGACCCTGAGATAAATACAGTAGCTTAGATAAAACAAAAAAACCTAAATTAGATTTTACGCTTTATGTCCTATTTTCCCTAATGAGGGGGATTGTGTTACAGCATCACTCTCATAGGTAAGTGTGTGTAAAAGGAGAAACCAGGAGACAGTCTGCAAAAAGCTTTCCCAACAGTGTGTGATGGGTCTGTCAGTCACTTTGGACATGCCCAATTTGCAACCTAAAGTGATGGTTATGTCTCTGTTGTCACAATATCTACCAGTGTTTAGAAACTGGAAAGGACTTACCTTTACATACTACATGAACATTCATACTGTAATCACATTCATGGTGACCCCAGGGGTCTGAAGAGCACTCCCAGAGTGATGACTCATTCCCACTGCAGTGGACTCTGTCAAGCCAAATGGGGACATCAGTAGTTGGGATTCGCATTCTGCTATATGTGTGAGCCTCTCCACATCCTGCTTGTCTGCAGGCTACATGAGACTCATTGAGTCCCCAGCCATCCTCACATATTGTTCCTTGCAGACCTCTGTAAAACACATCCACTCTTCCTGCACATGAATTGGCAACCGTTGTTAGGTATATTTTTTTTTCATCTGTAGAGAGACAATTCAAGTTTCAGTAATTTAAAGCAGAAATTAATCTAAATGTATAAAATTAGTTTAAAGTATTCATGTTAAATTACCTGTTTTTTTCAGGGCTTCTGTTCCTTCTATAGACTCTAGAATATAATAAATATGACTGTAAGGTTTGTCTTAATCAAAATAATAAGTGGACCAGAATAAAACATTAAAAAGCATATAAACAGAGGAAAAATAATGGCCTTTGATTTTTTCACTCTCCAAAGCCTTCAGCCCCATACATAACTGACATTGCTTATGTTTTTGGTGATGCAGCTGGAAATTCATTCTTATTTTCCTAAATTCAGCAAACAGCAGTTCTTATCCACATTCCGTGTTAGGCTTCTCTTCTGGTCTACTGCAGTTCTTCCAGTCACCAGTGGCTTCTGCTGCCACCTGAGTTCCAATTTCAAATTTGCACAGCTACCTGCTAACCAGATTCTCCCTTTCTGCTTTCCATCAAGCTACTCTTGCAGTCACACATTGTCTTCTGCTGTGTATTAATCTGACTCTGGCCTGGGGTCATTACCTGGCTTTAGGGAATTTTAAACAGATATATGCTGATGTACGTGACACCCCAGCTGAAACATAGGGTGACCAGAGCTGGACTTGAACTACAAAATCCTCCATAACACTGCTGTAATTCAATGTGTAATGTGTACACCTGGTGTGTGTCTTCTCCCAGTGTTTTTTGAAAATGGCCTTTTTTTCACAATTAAATTAATCACAAATCTTCACTGAACTGTGCTGTGTCTCCTTTCATCCCTACAGCTGCCCACAACAGAGTTATAAATGTCAAATTAGTTAGTACTGTTATCTGCTAATATGTAGCCCTCCTCCTGCTTCCACTTCTGGCTGCTCTTCCCATTGTCTTTTGCTGTCCACCAGTTCCAATTCTTCACCATCACCAACAGTCAAAGCTTGTTGAACTCTTTGGGATGAAAATTACTATAAAAATCGAAGGTACTATAGTAGTTATTCCTCATTGGAGGAACACAGGCAGTGCTTTCAAAGCAGAGTTGTTTCATTCCAGTCCTTGAGAGTCTTAAGAACATAATGAATTAAACCCTTCATGATAGCTCCAACTGGCCATGATGTAACTTTCCTTAGAAACTAGCCATCTTAGGTAGCTGTAGTCTCATTTACCTGCACAAATGACTCCTGCATCCCAGGGGTGTTGACAGTCCTTGGAGCCCAGACGTCCAGCCCTGCACTCTCCCAGTTCTGCCTCGATCCCCAGGCAGCCCACCTTGTTGAGGACCCTGTCCTCAGGGGCAGTCTGGGGGTGGGCAAGATGGGGAGCAGACACAGCCGCCCCACAGCCCAGCTGTTTACAGACCACCTCTGCGTCGCGCAGGTCCCAGGAATGACTGCACACACTGCCCCACTGGCCCTCAGACTCCACCTGCACTCTTCCAGAGCAGCTGCTGCCATCCAGCCTGATCTGGAGACCCCCTGGACACACACACACAGGGTGAGACAGCAGACAGAGTGGGGCTGCTCTACTTCTTACTACTCCCCCTGCCAGCAGAGAGTGGCCTGCCGCTGAAGATCTCAGTAATTTAACTGAAGTCAACATTTTAAAAATGTCTTCTTCAAATAAGAATGTATAAATTTGAAAATGCCTTTTCAACATCACAGAACTAAATGAAGAATCACCATGAGTCAAATCTTGATGAAATGTTTGGGATGAAAACTTCTACAATATTGAAATACATTCATAATAGTTATTCCTCATTGGATGAAAACAGACACTGCTTTTAGAGTTTTGTTAAGCTCCAACAGAGTATTCTGTTATGCTCCAACTGAGCATGATTCAGAAGGGGACCATCACCTGGAAGGGGATAATGACACCCAACAGAGCATGCAGTATTAATATGGAATTGTGTGACTAAAGGGAAATTATGTTAGCTGAAAATGAAAATAAGTTTCTGGATGTCATGAACTACATTAATTTAAGTGGCATTTTCCACTTTTTTCCATAAATATCTCTGACCATTTTCTCTCCGTCACTTATTGTAATTATTTTGTAAAAGTTTGACATGCTTTTTTTAACTACATCTTGCTGTCATGATTGTTATAGAAATTAAACTTTTCACTGAAACTCTTGTAGAAAATGAAAGATATAAGATGTACTGTAATTCCTGTGGTTTTTAATTTAAAAAATGAAGTGATGTTTTGGTTCAGTGGTAGACTTTTCACTTGCCTGCTAAAAGTTCCCAGGTTTGATTCCTGTTATATGTTTAATAGATAAAACACTTTATTTCTAATAAATAATATGTACAGATATAAACTAGTAAATTGTAACAAGCTGCTTTGTTGTTCGTGTGAGGAACCCTATGCGGAGTAAGGGAGCCAAGTCAGGAGAGATTTCTGACTAATCCAAAACGTTAGTCGAGGGCGAATTCCAGGTTCGATACCAAAGGTTATTCAAATGGAAAAAGGCAGACACCGAGGTAAAAAATGTAAGATCTGGATCCGAGTATCCAAAAAGGCAAGTGGAACTAAATAAGGCAAGGCAAGCCAAGGAGTTCCAAAGAAGCTAACAATACCGAGCAGTGTTCAGTGAAAAGGAGAAGGCTTAAGTAAGTCTGGAAGTAGAGGGTGTGTTAACAAGTGAGGTGCTCAGATTGGATGAAGGGATAGATTGGTGGTTTTTGTGGAGATTGCCTCCAGCTGGTGCTTAATTGGGATGAGACAGTTTGTGAGGAGGGTTCCGATTAGCTGTGGGTGTGACATAAATATTATGTACACTACATTGACTTTTTATTGTTTTTAAATATCATAGAGTGTTCAATGTTAAATGCTATTATTTAAAAACATGAATGAGCAAAGTGGATACTGTCAACAGTGGGAGTTCAACCGGTTTAATTCAATTCAATTCAAACTTTTATTCATCCCAGTGGTGCAATTTAACACATGCCTTTACAACAAGCCTTAAAACAAAATCAGTTATATTATAATTATAATCAGTAATAACACAGTGGTAATAAAAATACCACTGAAACTATAGTAACATACTGTATCTGATCATTATTAATGATATTAATGTATTAATAACCAATAAGAATTTAAACCTTCTTTTTTCAGGGTCATTTGCTTTCTTTAGTTTTCATAACCTTCCCTTTCTTCTTAAAACACCTATTTATGAGACACATAAATACTCTCTTTAATTTGTGAAACTATTTATGTATTTTCCGTTTTTACTCAGATAAGAATAAACTGCAAATTAAATTATTTTGACAGGAGGAAAGATGATCTGTGCTTTTTCACCACATATGGAATCGTGTAACGAAAGAAATTAATAATGATATTAATTTAAGGAAATATATTTATATAGCTGGTAGTATTACCAGAGTCCACTTTCTTTATAAACATGTATTTTTTTCTTTGACTAATTCACTCATTATTACTTTCTCCTAACAAAGAATCCTTTTAAAAAAATAAAATAGTAAATATTATGTACACTACATTAACATAATAATGTATCTGATAATTATTAACAGTATTAAATAATAATTTCAAACTTCTTGTATCTTTTCCAGAGTCATTTGTTTTCTCCAGTTTTCATTACCTTCGCTTTCTTATTAAAACACCTATTTATGAGACACTACGTTTCAGATGATAATAACTTTGTGAAAAATGACAGAGCCTTGGGCACTTTAAGGATCACTATTTGTGAAAGTTTTCACAGCTTTTATTTAAACAATATCTAGTACCTGGTTGAAGTTTTAGAAACCTTGGTTTAAATAAAGCAGATCCCAGTTGTAGCGAGTTCATAACGTGAGAACGCATTATGCTACATTTTTTATGCATAAGTCAAAGTGTTCTGAAGTTTTTCAAAAACTCTCTAAAAACGTAACATAAAACTGTACTGCACGATGGGGAACTGATTAGAGAAAATAAAAAATAAGTAACAATGGCACATCCCTGCCTAATTTAGACATTAGGAACAAGTAATAGGTTTATTCCGTGCTGAAAAAAAGAAGAAAGAGAACACAACGTTTCGGCCGTGGAGCCTTCTTCAGGTGTAATTTAGACATTGCATGACTTTAAGAGCTATAAAAAACGGGTTAAGTTAAAAACTACATTTTTTGAGTGAAAAAAGAGTGATTTTTCTTCCTTATGATCATCTTAAAATCTTTGTGTATGCTGTAT